AAAAAAAAAAAAAAACAAACCAAAAACCAAAACAGATCTGGTTTCTGGAGCCAGGGACACCTGTGAGCCAAGCCAAACTGGTCCATGGCAAGGTGCACCCAGCGGCTGCGACACCCGGAGCACTTGGGTGTCCCTGGTGGCTGTGGCACCCAGAGCACCGGCTGCTTCATGCTGTGGTTCCACAACGTCACCGGGGTGCCGGAGTGTTCTCCTAGTTACGGAGCTGCTGGGGCAGCAGCTGGCCTCTGGAATGCAAATGCCTCCGCTACCTGGGCAAGCCTGAGAAGACTGATATTTAAACATCCCTCTCTGCTGCAGATCTGTTTATGTTTGTACATATCTATTTTTGTAAAATTCCCCCAAATTAGGTATGTGTTTACTTTTTGCCATCATCTAATCAGCAACTCAAAGGGTAAGTTGATGTTCTATATTTAGTCCAGATATTCAGTAGAGATGATTAGGGATGTATCAAAGAAGAGGTGATTTTTTTTTTCCCCTAGGATTTCTTAATGCTCTCTCCTTCTTCCTGTATTAATGCAGCTTCTGCCTCTGCTCATGTTTCTCTGTGCAACCAAGAAGCATGTCGGTGAGAGTATTTGTGTGGCTTTCTGAACATATTTATTTGAAATAATTTGCCTCTAGAAAGTGATTATGGTCTGTTTGCCATGAGAAGAGTAGCTGCAGTCCTGAAATATCAAATGTTTATGGAAGATGACATAGCAAAGCTGTTTAACACATGGTACACAAAACAGTGATTCTAGACCTTTTTTTTTCCCCTGAAGTTTGCTGGGGAAAAAATAGAATACAATAATGCAATTTGTGTATTCCTCTGTATTTCATATGTGCCTTTGAGAGAGCATGACAGTGCTCTCTTAGCCACGTCATGGGATATAGGTGTGATATTAATTATTATTTATATTGAGCCTGTATCTTGAGACTTCCGTACGAAACTGAGGGCCCAGTCAGGTGTGTGTAGTAAGGGTAATAGTAAGACATTTATGAGATTTGAAGTGCAGATCACTTCAAGTTAGGATGTTCCTGGTGACATTTTTCATTCACAACTGTTCACAGCACCTCCCTCTGCCTCTTCTTTTATTTCTCTGGATCAAGGTCCTCTGACAGCTGTTGTCCACTGTCAGATTAGGGAATCTTAGACTAACCGTAGCACCAGTGTAGAGACTTGGAAGCTGACTCAGTGCTCGCCAGCATGGGTCTAGAGACAATGCAGTTAAGTTTACATGGAGCTGGAAGCTATGGATTTACTAGCTTGGATCAGCACATTTGTGGGAATCTCTGTATTACATCCTAACTGTATTCCCTAACAGTATTCTTACACTACCCTATGTGTTTTGTTTGCACAAAGATGCTCCCTGAGCCAGATACAGCAAGAACTAGTCCTGTGAAGCTTACTGTCTGCCTGCAGGCTTTGAATTTGGGAATTGCTGTTCCACTGTCTCTTGGGCATCGAACTGTGCCCATCATCAAGATAAAGTGTGTGAGAAGGGAACGAAGCAGATGGGGTAAAGACTTTAGCCTGAGTTAAGACACTTCTGCTGTTGATTGAACATGCCTACTTCGAGTATCTGTATTTACACATTGTCCTCTTCCTCTCATTTGATCTAGGTTGTATGGTTGGGCCCTGGAAATGGGATGTCAGTCCCGTTCAGGGAGCATAAAGGAAGAAAGAAAATCTCCCAGTTGCTGCTGCTGTGACAGCGAGTGAGAGCAAGAGCAGGAAAATGTCGACAGTCACATCAGCAATCCAGGCTCCTCAGGGCCCTGTGAATCCACCGCCTCCGGAGGTCACTAATCCTAATAAGCCTGGCCGGAAGACCAACCAATTGCAATATATGCAAAATGTTGTGGTAAAGACCTTGTGGAAGCATCAGTTTGCTTGGCCCTTCTACCAACCTGTTGATGCAATTAAATTGAATTTGCCGGTACGTTATCTATCATCTTCTGTTTGGTATTCTGTTCTTAGAAAGCGTTGTGTTGGTGAGATCAGTTTTCAGATTACTGGATCAGAATGGTTAGGTTGCTTTTGAGGATTTCCTTGTATGCTCTTAGACTTGCTGAATTAGAAGATGGTGTCTTTCAGAGCTGGAGAGGTGCAGGTCTCTGAAGGAAAAAACTACTTCTCACTTAGTGAGGGAAGAGAAGAGCACACAGGCAAGCTGTCTTAGAGCATCTGAAGCATAGTGCTTTGTTTGTGGCTTACCTGTGGTTACTTTTATGTGGCTTCACCCCTTATCCCACCTTTGTCCAATTTGAGTGAGAGCCTTGAAGCCCACGCTCTTCTGAGCATTTGGCATTGGGCTCAATGTAACTTGTGTTTCCGATAGGCTTTCCTGGATTTGCCACTGACTTCAGTGTTGAGGAAAGCAGGAGAAGCTAATTACCAAGGATACTTTGGAGCTAGATATTTTCATATGCCGTACTGGAAGTAGAAATAACAGAACAGTTGCATTTACTCATCTGCCTCCTGTGCCTGATATATATAGATAGATAGATATAGATAGATAGATACATACACACACACCCCCCCCACCACCCACCCTGTCTCTGTCAGACCAGATAGTACAAGATGTAGCCCGGTTATTCATAAATGACCAAAGTTTATTAAGCTGCTTTCTTCCAGGGAACGGAGCCACACACTCTTCACCTCTTCAGAGGGGTTCTGTAGGTGTAAAAACTCAGCAGTGGAGGCATACCCCTACCCACCTGCTTCACTTAAATACAGACACCACCACCCCCCCATCCACCCTGCTGTCTGCTCAGCTGGACAGCGCATTGCAAATTAACTCCAGCTGCTTTGAGCAAGAGGGTTTCATGCAGGATTTGAGGGAGCAGAGTTCTGGGATGTAAGGTCAGCAGAGCTCCAGTTACCGCAGGTTATAACCCAATTTTATGGACTAGATCAGGAGTCTTTTGAACTCTGTAATGCTGTTGACGGGTACTATCTAAAGTGCTAGCCAAAAGAGTAAAAGGCTTAACACCTGTATAATATTTCTCTAGGTCTGTGCTCCTTTGTGTCATCTTTTTGTGGATTTAATTTCTCAGTGAGGCATTTTGAGGTGGTTTTAGGGCAGGTTACCAGAAAATTTAAAGGAGGAGTCAGTGGAAGAATAGTTGTTTTTCACGTGTGGCCTAAATCTGCACGAGCCCAGTAGCCAGCAGGATTGCCTCTTCTGCCCTAGTGTGCCTTGCCTGGAAATATTGGTATCTCGGGTCGTGCTTGAGGGTTGGGCTCAGAGAGTGGCCAGTGGCTGTACATGGCTTCGTGTGCACGTGCAGCGAGAGAGGGCTTCCTGCTCTTCTCGGGCATGAGAAAATTACAGCGTATAACCTTGCATGCCTAGAGTGTCTCCAGGCTAATCACAGCCTCTACAGATTCTTGAGACCAGCCCAGAGAGAAACTGGGTTAACAAGTGGAAGCCTTTTAAGGACTGAAATGCCCTTAAAAGAGAGACTGAAACTTTTAGCGCGGTCTTAGCCAGTGCTGGCACTGATAAACTTCTGTAAGTGCCAGAGGCAGCCTTTTAAAAAGGGAGGCAGAAATGCTGTTTCCCAAACTACAGCTAGTCCACTGTTAAACTGAACAGCCTGCCAAAGCTAGTGCTGACCCTGCTGCCCCAACTTCTGGTCCCACGTGAGCATGAAGCGCATCGCTGCAGTGTTAGTCTAGCTGTCAAGTGTGGCACCCTTCCACTCTGTGGCACAAGCCAAAATGGCACCTACAGCCTTGTAAGGGGTATCAAGGCTGCAAACAGCTTCCAGGGAGAGCTGCTCAGAAAGCATGTTTTCCTCCACATTACTCTTAGTGCCTTCCCAGTCCAGCTGTATTTATAAAAAGCTGGTAATGTGTTTGAGCATGTGTTGGGGGGGGAGTTGTGGAAGGTTGGTGGTTGTGGAAGGAGTTCTTGTGCTTTGTAGTCAAGTTCATAATAATGATAGATTAAAAGGCTACAAATTAGAAAATAAATGAAAGCAGAGATGACATTTGCAATTTCCACAAAAATTTGGGGATGTGTTTTTTGGGAGGGGGAATGAGGAGAAAGCTGGGACTAGGAGGAGATGTGAACAATGCTCTCTGCATATCAGGAGGTGTAACGTCTTTCCTGTTTCTCCAACAGGATTATCACAAAATAATAAAAAACCCCATGGACATGGGGACCATCAAGAAGCGCCTGGAACATAACTATTACTGGAGTGCCAGTGAATGTATGCAGGATTTCAACACCATGTTTACAAATTGTTACATTTATAACAAGGTAAAGAGCCCGGACAAGCATTTAGCTGGGGCACTGCCTAGAAAAGACCCACCTACAACTGTTATAATGCAGGTTTTGAACAGGGCCAGCTCCGCTGTGCTCCAGGCCCTCCTTGCAAGGATTTGAAATGCCGCTAATTGCAACCACATTACTTGAAATGCACAAAGCTGTCTTTGTGCTGTGTCTTTCTTCCCCCAGACTGCTTAAAATGGCAAATGTGCCTTTTAATTATAGGTAGATTTCTGCTTTGGGGTTATGCAGCAAGTTTTTACTCCTTTTATTTCCAGTTAGGAATTCTTTAAGATGAGCTAAAGTTTGTGCAGTGCTTTGCAGGTGTTATGTGGGGTATTAGTGCTGTGTCTTACACTTACTGTCTAGCAGTAAATAGTATCTCTTAGCAGCAGAGAGCAGTTCAGGAAGTTTATCTCTGTTCTCTGCCTATGTCTCGTCCATACTTGCACACCTTTAGATAGCTTATTATTTTTGGTTGGGCTTGTTTGCTGTTTTTATTAGGTTGTTAAAAGCCTGTATTCTTTGTATTATGTTTTCTACAATGGTTTGTCATCGTTGACCCATACTGGAGAACAATAATAAACAAATTAATTAGTTTGAGCCACAGAGTATGTGTTTACACTCTTTTCCTGGACCTGCTGGCAAGCAGAGGAGGACAGCTCATCTGTTCCAGTTTGCTGCTTCCACGCTGATGCACAGGATGCTACTTACTAGGCTCCTACTGGAAGTCCTGATAACTCTCTGAATGCACCGTACTTAGAGGCTGTAATTATTGCATGCTAGACCAGAACAGAAGAGCAGGAGGGTAGCATGCAAGGAGGGAGAAGAGCCAGTATGTTTATTGTTGAAGCTTGGATACCATCATTTATTTTGAAGGGCAGCATCATTGGGGATTTCAAAACCTGATTTTGAACCTCTCTGCTAATATGTGGATGATACAGCGTGGGCTTGTATTCTTCTTTCTGCAGCCCACAGATGACATCGTCCTCATGGCCCAAGCCCTGGAGAAGATATTTCTGCAGAAGGTGGCCCAGATGCCTCAGGAGGAAGTCGAATTATTACCCCCAGTTCCTAAAGGCAAAGGTCGCAAGCCGTCAGCGGGCACACAGAGTGCAGGTATTAACCCGATCCAGTGACAGTCAATGTTACGAGCCTGTTGCTGAGGCCTGGCCCACCTTTCAAGCTGCCTGGCTTTGCAAATGGTGAAGAGGCTAGGAAGGGAGCATGTAGTCTAACGGATAAAGCAGTGGAGGAAAGCGTGAGATGTCTAGATAATGTTCACCCAGCGTTTCGGGGCTTGTCTGTCCTAAGGGCGCTCTGCATTTGTCATACAAACATCATACCATCTGTGACTTATCCATCCACGCAGCACTTCAGTGAGGGAGGGCAATGCTGTTGCTTCCTGTATGCAAAGAAGAAACCAAGGCAAGAAGAGGCAAGGTAGTTAGACACACCAGTCTGCTGCAAGTGACAGACCATGGCGTGGAATGCCTTTATAGACCTGGGTTTATACAGCTCACCCGAGGTCCTGGCAGAAGTCTGTCACAGCAGAGACTTGGACTTAAATCTTGCCCATACCCTAAACCCCATACAACATTTTTCTTTTGCACGCATGGTTGCAACATCATAGAATAAAGTTTGATCAACAGAAAGGATTGACAACAGCCATTGCAACAAGCTGTGTAGACCACTGCATATCAGTAGAAACTAAGTTTAGTTCAGCTTACCTAGAGCTGATTTTAGATGGATTTATGACTAAAATGTCTGTAAGCATGGTAAAACAGTTCATAAAGGAGCTTGTGTGGGCTGAATTAAACTGTTGCAAATTTTTTTCTGTAAACAAGGTCTAATTGTTGCTCTGGCAAAGTCAACTGTTCCTCTTTGTTTTCCCACATCTCAGGTGCCAAATGGAGCTACAACTTCAAGCTCAGAGAAATTTGTGATGATGTGCCTTTTCAGCATCCTTTCATAAAAGTTGCTATAAAAACATAGAGGAGTATTGCTACTTTGGTTATTAGTTACTAGATTTGTCCCCCTTAACTTTACACTAGTAGGCAGTTCTTTAACAGTGCAGGTGTAGCATAAGAGACATTTGCCTGGCTACCAGGAGACTTAGGCTCTACTCCCAGCTCTATTTCTTTCGTTGTATAACTTGTGGCAAACGTGAAGTGCTTTGGACTCTTGGGTGTTTAGCTGGCAATAGGGGAGTTTGTCATGCATAGCAAAAATGCTCCCAGATTGAGGTCTGTGCAGGACAGCAGCTGTCCAAAAGAGCCATCTCCCTCCTTTCCCTCTCCTTGAGCTCCTGCTCTTTTGCTGAGCACAGGGTTGCTCTGAGAGCATGAGAGGGATAAAGACTGTCCCAGAGCAACACACCCCATGTGCAAAGCTTGAAGTATTTTGCATGCATGTGGCTGGCCTAAAACTCATGGTATGAGGACTTAGGTCAGTGATTTCTCATTTTTTGTTGACCCCTGGGTAACAGCATCAAGCAAATCACACTGTGTTGTTTGTGCTCTTCCTGTGGCCCTGGACTGGGAGCTTTTTGCCAAGCCCATGATTGCACAGTCCAGCGGCACCAGTGTCACTTTGTTCCCAATGTCTTGTTGGCACTTGTAACCATCAATACATTGCAGCACGTTTTCACTTTGTCGTTTGAAAGGAGCGCAGCAAGCAGTGGCCGTGTCTTCCGTCTCCCCGCCGGCCCCGTTCCAGAACGTCCCTCCAGCCGTGTCTCAGACGCCCGTCATTGCTGCCACCCCTGTGCCAACCATCACTGCTAATGTCCCGCCTGTCACTGCCCCTCCCGCCGCTGCTCCCCCTCCGCCTGCTGCTCCGATAATGCCCGTGGTGCCTCCTACGCCACCGGTAGTCAAGGTAAATGGAGAACTCGACCCCTTCCTCTTCAGAAGGCAATATTGCTAAGCAGTGCTTTATTTTCATCCCCTCGCTGCTGGTTATGTACATTCCTTCTCTTCGCATTTGACTCCTTGCCTCTCTGGCCATCGTTGTCCCTTTGGGGTGTGCTCAGACAAGTGCTTGCTGTTGAGTTTGAAAGGGTTGAGAAAAGTTTTGCCAGTTCTACCGCACCCCAGCTAAGGTGATGTCAACTGTAATTGCTCCAACTCAGTTACAAGCTCTCATCTGACCATAGCCTTAGCCAGTGCTGATGCTTCATGAACCCAGAAGGCTGTTGGAGGTTCTCCCATTTTGCACCATATAGCCCAAAGCATCTCTTCCCTCTGTAACTGACCCCCTGATTTCACTGGGACTATTCCTTTAAGGTTTGCAGGCTCCAGCACTAGGCACGTTCTTCTCTGCCATAAACCAGTTCAAGACAAGCTTGTCACTCCAGTTGGAGGAGACCAATGTTGCCTGCAGGTTTTGGGTGCACTAGTTCTGTCTTCCTTACTGAGGAATTTTCTGGGAGTTGCCATTGGTGTTTTGCTATTTACTATGTTAATTTATGGGTAAATGAACACGTTGCTCTGAATAATCGCAGTTTTCCTAGCAAGCTGTGTATTGCTTTAAAAATGATGAAAGCATAGCTCAGAGAAAGCTATTTTTTTTTCTAAACTGGGAAATTAACTGCAACAGTATTGGTGTTCTCCGATGTGAGGCTGCATGGGCCAGCAGAGCCACAGAATTGTTTTGCTTATTTAACCCTATAGTTTGGAATTACTAGAGAAATTGTAAGTCAGATCTTCTTGCAGCTAAGCTGTCCTCCTCAGAAGCCTGTCTCATACTTCAGTTTCTGTCCAAATAACTCGCTTCTGAGAATCAATTTAATTTTAAAACTCAAGGATGAAGCCAGAAGTGAGTTTGCCAAATACACACTGCAAAAGTAATTCTGCTTGGGATTTACTTAAGACTTCCCTTAGATTTCCCTAAGGTACTTTTTTTTCCCCCCTTTCTCTCTTTCTCCAGAGAAATAAATCCTTCATAGGAGCACAAGAGAGAGCTGACTGGACAGTCACAGCTTGAATTTATGCGAGAGAGGTTTTATTTGCTTAAGGCAAAATCATTAAATTCTTGCTCTTGTCCATAATAAGCAATCTACCTTAGCACACCCACTAAACACAAGGGAGTGAGGGCTCGTGGGTCTTTGGTGATTAATATGCTTTGGTTCAGAACTTATAGCCTGATCCTGCCACTGGGGACTCAGACATGTGGTTAAGTTACTGACACACACTAAGTCACGATGCATCAGCTGAGCTGCAGTAGTCGACTGGGCGCACTCCTTTCCCTTGGCAAACATGAGGTAAGAGTCCTTAGTTTAAATCTCAGTGAAATACATAGAGCTAACACACTTTGCATCATGTTTGGGGTTGGGTTGGAGATGTGCAAATGGCTGGTTACTGTGGCTCAGATGACAAGTAGTAATACATCGTGTTGTAGTCACTGAATTGCGTGTCGAAGCCCCTAGTCACAAGTCCCATTTTATCCCAGTGAAGTAATTTTATTTTCTGTCAGGGGACAGGCAGATCTCAAAAATAAGGATGAATTGTGCTAGGTTTCTGCTAGAGTAGCATGAGAGCTGGGCACGTATTCATGAGGCCTGTCCATCTGCTGTTTCAGAAAAAGGGAGTGAAGCGGAAAGCAGACACAACAACCCCCACCACCTCCGCGATCACTGCCAGCCGAAGCGAGTCGCCCACGCCCCTCTCGGACCCCAAGCAGGCCAAAATCATCGCTCGACGGGAGAGCGGCGGCCGGCCCATCAAACCACCAAAGAAAGACCTTGAAGATGGAGAGGTCCCCCAGCATGCAGGGAAGAAGGGCAAACTCTCTGAGCACCTCAAGTACTGTGACAGCATTCTCAAGGAGATGCTCTCGAAGAAGCATGCAGCCTATGCATGGCCCTTTTACAAGCCTGTTGATGCAGAGGCCTTGGAATTACATGACTATCATGATATTATCAAACACCCCATGGATCTCAGTACTGTTAAAGTACGTCCGCATTTACCACCTCTTTTGCAGGGTGTCACAGCCCTCTGGTTGCAGAGGACTGGCTCCTTCTGGGGGAGGGGGAAGGGACAAGGGTGGAAAACTGAACCTATTTGGATATCATCTGGATATTTTTATATTTTGTTTCCTTCCCCTCTCCTTTTTTCCCCGTAACCTGGGACATCTTTTTTTCTGCCCTGCAAAGCAGACTGTACAATGGCATCCTCTCCTCTTTGTGGATAGTCCGGCTATTTAAACTTGTGTCCTTGGGATTGTGTTGCACTCTGAGAAGAAGAGGTGCTGTATTTCATAGGATTCGATTGATAGTATCCCATTTCCAGAAACTGCTGCCTGCCTACTTGTTGGCATGATGTGTGGTCCAGATAGGCTTACGCTGAGCAATTCCACCCGGAACGTGATGATCACCTGGTACTCGGGGAGGGGAGGAAATACCGTGATGCTTGTGTGGTTCATGCTTGGCTCTTCAAGAGCTTAGCTTAGTATGGTCCAATATTAAAGGTGTTTTTCCCAGTAGACTGGGAGGTTTCTCTGAATCCCTCCTAAATATCCATGGAGCAAAGCTGTGTTTTTTTTCTAGTTCTCATCTTCTGCTTGTCAGCCGGCCATTGGAATCAGTGTTGGTGGAGGTGAGACTTTCTTCCATGTGCAGGAAGTTAAGGTATTTCTGCTGGCTTTTGTTAGCGTGCCAGAAGGGTTTTGCTGCCATCTGAGCCAATGCCTGGGATTGTCTAAATGCCCAGGTGACAAAAGGGCAGCTGCGTTCATGATTCCTTTCGTGTTCCTTGGCAAATCCTACGCAGTACCTGGAAGCAGTGTGTCGTGCTCTGATATGCCATGCCATTCAGCCATGATGCTGCAAAGGTTCTTACTACAGCTGCAACATTTTTACGAGTATTTTAGTTGCATTATTTAGTGGTGAGAGAATAGTTGTCATGGTCTGTGCATTGAGGATTAGACCAGGAGTTACCAGTGTCTGATTTTTAATTGTTGTTTTGATGCTATGGTCCTGGGCAAGTTTCCCTACAGCTCTGTGCAGCTCTGTGCCATAGTTTTCCCAGTCATAAAATGGAGATAATAATTAACCTACCTCACAGGGCTGTTGTGAGGACAGATACCTGGAAGGCACTATCTAAGTACTAATTATTATTATTATTATTGATTGGGTTTGTATAGAAAAGACCATCTCTGAGTTGGCAAAAGCATTGGAAGCAGGCTCTGGTGGAGCTAGGCTTGGAGACCATTCTTCTGAGCTTGCAGTGCCCTTGCTTTGTTTATAAAAGCCAGCGCAACGTGCAGTATTTTTGACTTGCAATTAAGCTGAGCTGTGTTAAAGGCCTACAGCAATTTCCTGGGAGGAGAAGAGGGCAAGACGAAGGGTGAGTTGAGCTGCAGGCAAGACGAGGGAGCCTGAAATACAGTGGTAAAAGCAGGAGAAATGGCTAGGTTGAACATGCTAGTCTGCAAAGCTGGCTACCTGACTTTAATCTTCTGCTGATAGAGGAAGGTCCCAGTGTTTTCTTGTGTAAGTTTCCATTTTCTCTTGCTCTTGAGTGTCGATGAGGAAGGAAGAAGCTCCCCTCAGTTTTGGTACTGCAGTGCATTTGCCATCCTGCTGATTTTGGATGCCCAGTGCTGAAGACCCACTTAATCCTTGTACACTGTTTTAACTATATGACTTGCTGTCAAGGTCGGCTCACTTCAATTTGCATTGGAGTTGCTCTTCTCCACCAACTTGGATGTCCATCCACATGGCTTGGATCATAGGCTAATGGATAATTCAGCTTAGTCAGGAGGCCTGCCCCTTGCTAAAAGCAGGGTCACTTACGCACTCTGATCTGCTCCCTTCCAGGGGTCACCACCTTCTCAGCTGAGTGGGTCTGACCTTGCTCCTCTGATGCCAGTGAGTGGGCTGGGAGCAGGAGCAGGTTGCAGATGGGGTTTCTGGTGTTCTTCTGTAAGTCATATCAGAGGTGCAGTACTTGAGTGGCATCAGGAACCTTCATATACGATGTTCTGTTTACTGTGCATGTGGTTACATTTGTCCATGCTTATCATAGGCTACATGTCAAAATCTGTTTTAAGAGTCTATAAACTGGACAGTAGCTTTAAAGGAATTTCAAAGTATGTCTGATTTGCAGAAATGACTGAGATGGGAAGAAGCATCTCTTCCTGAGTGCAACTGTTCTTTTTGTTACCACATTAGAGTGATGAAGTGTTATTGATAGCCTTTTCTCTGCTGGTCTTGTGAACACAAGTCGTTAGATGATCACATCCTAGATGAACTCATTCAGTTACTGTACTGACGTTAGTGGGACTGCTGGTAAACCTAGTCCTTTCAGACCTATTCTCAGCTCAGTCACATTGCCTTGACTTCCTAGGGATGCTGTGGGTCTCCAGGGATACCTGCAGCCTGGTAGATCAAGCCCTGGGTGAATGCAGTAAGATTAGAGATGGAGAGAGTGAAATCCTGATTGTCAAAGCTGGTCTTTCCATGTCTGGTTAGGTGGCTTCTTATTGCAAGGGATTCTGTGCTGTATTCTGCAAAATCTAGGTGAAAAACTGATTTCTTGGGTTGGTGACTTCTTCACACTTAAATCTCTTTATAGTCCTAACTTCATTCTTTTAAAAAGTGTACACCTCTGATTGCACTTTCTCTGCAAGTGCAGGTGATACTCTCCCTCTGTACCTTACTAGTGTAGGACAGAAAACTGGTCTCCACTGGAGACCCAGTGGAGTCTTTTTACATGCAAAGACTCTGGACTTGTCTTTCCACGTGGTAGGATTTTTCTTAATAAACTTGTTCGAAGTGCTGTCTGGTATTGTTTTTTTTATGGAGTGTTTTATTATCATTGCTCTTGGCCTGTAGATCATAGTGTGACTTCTCTGAGATGCAGTCTATAATATGTTAACTGCATGGAACAGAAACCTGCCATTTGCAGGCAGTGTAATTCTCCAGTGTCAGGAGCTTTCTCTGTGGCTCTGAAAGGTTTTAGATTTAATTCTGCACAAGTGACAATGGCTGTGGTAAAGCAGCGCAACTAATGGCCTTCAAACTAACCTTGAAGGAATTATGTGAGAAAGTGAAACATAAGCGTTGCTGCAGCTATAATAGATTCCCCAATATCTGGTTGCTTGTCACTTTGGCTCTCTGGTTATATGAGGTTTGATTTTCTTCAGAGAATATCCTTCACATCCAGGAGCATTTTTTTTTTTTCAGGCTGTGCACCCAGCAGAGGTGTGCTTCAGGAGGATGTGGAGATTTTCTCTGTGTGCAGTGGAGGAGGCAGGTTGACTCATGACCGTGCCGGTGGCAGGTGAGAGGTGGAGGGGCTGTAGCTGAGCTTGTTGCAGCCAGGAGCAGAGGGGTGTGCTGGAGTGCCGTGCCGGAGCTAGGACTGAGAGTGGGGAGAGCTGAAGGGACAGGATCGATGAGCTCATCTCCACCTCAATTCTCTGATAGTCATCACAGAGGGGGAAAGAGCAGAACTGCTTGGAGTAGAGAGAGGAAAGGATGAAAGCATGGGGGAACAGGGAGGCAGAGGCATGGGTTACACTTTAAAAACTGTCAGCAGCCCTAACTCCCCATAGTAGGTGAAACGCTTGCTATGAAGCTGTAGCAGCACCGTGCTTCCGCTGTCCTGTCCACAGGCAGACAGGGCCCACTTGCAGTACGTTCATGTCCCCCTCTCTGATGCTGGGGAGCTTTGGCATGGGGAGGCAGGGTGCTGTGCCCGTGATGGGGCTGGGGGGAACCTGGAGTGCCTCTTCTCCCACTCCGTCCTCTGGCTGCCGGGTCACAGCAGCAGCAATGTGGATGTGTCTGTCTTTGGTTTACTTGGTGGTGAACAAGCAACAGTCCTCGCCATGCAAAAGGATTTATACAAGGTGTTTATACTTTTGGAATAAAGCGCTACCTCCAGGGATCTAACTATGCTTGCTGGTTAATATCCTTGTAGTGAATTGCTGTGGTTTCAGAGCAGCTGAGTTCAGGGTCTTGAATGTGAGGAGACATTCTTTGGGGGAATTTTTAAAGATTTCTTTAGTTGCACCTATTTTAGAGTACAAATGCAGCTTCACAAAGCAGCTGCTCTTGTTGAGGCAGTTTCTGTAAGGTGCAGTTAGGCCCCCAGAAATCAGGCTAAGTCCTCATTAGCTGGTAGAGATGGATTTTTCTCTGCTAAAGTCGCTGGATCTGTGTGGCCCTGTCCCTCGTCAGCACCTGCCCTGATGCCATGCCCAAGGCATGTGCTTTGAGGACAGATTGATGTCCAGTTTAGTCTTGGAGAGGAGAAAATGGAAAGGAGACGTATTAGATCTTCAAATGTGTAAAAGATTGCTGCAAGAAGGGAGGGAACAAAGTTTTCTCTGCATCCTCTTTGGGCAGGTCAAGGCTTACCTTAGAGCAAGAGACACATTAGAAATTTGTTTCCTAATGTCTAAACATTAAAGAATATTAAACAATCGATTTGATTGCTGAGGGAAAAATGAGATTGCTGTGATAGATATTGCGTAGGGCAGAGAATGGACTAGCTGGCCTCCCAGCACCTCTGCCAGTCCTGCTTCTCTGACTCCTGATTTGCAATTGTAAATCTAAGAACTTTTTTTAAGCAGCTGGATACCTCAAAGTGAATTTGTAACCAAAGATATTCCAGCCCACCAATTTAGAGTCCTTTTTTTTTTTTCTTCCTTTTGTTAAGGTAATTATTCTTTACAAGAAAACAAAACAAAAATCCACAGATTAAAACTGTTGGGCTAGAAAACTGTTTGGTTTGGATGAAAGCGAAGCCTCAGACACTGAAATGTATTTCATAGGCAGTAATCAGCCACTGAACGTGCCAAACAAATGTAAGTGCATCAAAAAGGCCTTTCATGCAGTAAGGCTTATTTAAAAATAAATGGGCCCTTTCGTTTGAACATATGTTTTGCTTTGGAATTGGCCTGAGATGCTTTTCAAACAAACAGCTCTCCTTCAGACAGGAGAAGCACAAACCTACTTCCCTTCCCGTCTTTGTGCTGTGGCTCAGAGGCTTTCTCCTAGCTTATTCCCCAAGAGAATGAGGTCTCCTGACAAAAGTTTGACAGATGTCTGGCTGCAGCACAGCAGGGAGTAAGGCTGCGGGGACGTCACCACCCGGTGTGCAGGTCCCTCTGAAGCTGCATCCCTGGAGGTGAAATTCTGCCCTATTCAGAACAAAAACAGTTTTAGGAGTCATTGCAGTGTTTCAAGATAGTTACAAGGTCTACCGTGTAGCTGTGAAGTATCGGTAGCTTCCATTGAACGAATGGGAATTTTGCTTGCGTTAAGGCTTCTAGCGTGGGTTACAGACCCTAAGCACCCCTGCTTTCTGCTCGGATGGGGGATGTGTCTTCCCCGATCACATTTGCAGCCTGTCTGCAAGTCAGCCCCTTCCCTTCACTGGGGGATACAGGTGCACAAGACATACAAAATGGAGGCCTGCAAGCATTTGGCAAACAGAGAATTTCTTTAAACCCAGGTCTTTTAAATGCAAATGAAATCTAGTGTTAGCTGCTTTTTCCTTTTGGTAGGAGTAATTTGAGCTAAGTTTTATACATAGTAGTAATATGCATAAAATCAATTAAGTTCTAGGAATGCTATAAACTGTTCTCTAAACCCAAGTCGTTCAGTCCCAAACAGCAGGAGAAATGGACAAAAGTGAGAGCTGAAAAATGAGAGAAAGGAACAAGGTGCGAATATTTAGCTCCTGATACTTATCCTCACTACACTAGGAAATAACATTATGAATAGGTTCATAAAGGGTGAATTCTGTATCCATTCTCTGTCAGTTGGACTTTTAAATCAAGAGTAGGTGTTGTAGTTTAACTGTAAATGCCTATCTTGCTGTAGGAATCACCAAACAAAATTCATGCCCTGTGTTAGCAGGAAGTCAGAGTTTAGATGGTTGTGATCCTTTGGCCCTTTCAGATTTACAGGGCAAATATACCCAGGCAGCATGTAGAAGTACATGCTTAAGGTATTGCTGTAATTATAACTTGGTTGTTTGTTGACTCTTGCCCTTCCTGTCCATGAGCCTTGTTTACATTAGTTTCTGATCCAGCAAACCCTTTTTCTAAACTACTCTCTTTTCTAATAGGATGTGGACCCTGGCAGGTTTATATAGCACTACTTAGAAAAATAAAACAACCCAAATTTAGAATCTTAAAGTGTTTAAACTGTTATGGAGCAATATCAACTTCTTTGGTTGTCTGGTGTGTGTTTGCTTGCTTGTTTTTAAAAGCAGAAACTCTGAATGTTATTTAGGAACCAATAAGCCAGATCAAACTACTGTTCTCTTAGACAAATGTGATTTTTGAGGCTGTTCTGAGCTGTCTCCAAGATGCACGTGTCCTCCTTGCAGTTGCTACAAATGTCTTTTGCTTATGGCTTTTTCTTCCCTTTCCCTTTGGCTTGTTTGTTTGCAGAAAAAAATGGACAGTCGGGAATACCAGGATGCACAAGGTTTTGCAGCAGATATTCGGTTAATGTTCTCTAATTGTTACAAGTACAATCCTCCAGACCACGAAGTGGTAGCCATGGCCAGGAAGCTACAGGTAAAGGTGTTGGCAAATGCGTCTTCCAGAGTACGTTTAGTTCAGCTACAAGGTGTCGATTCAGAGATCCAGGCATGGATCTGCTCTTGGCACCAACAAGGGAGAGTTGGTGATTCCTCCAGCCCTTGGAAAGAGCCACGTTCTCTGCTGCAGAACTGTTGTGCTCTTCACATGGCATGGCCCAACGCCACATTCCGCTCCTAAAATGTTATATTCATTGCTGTATAAAGTAACGGGAGAATTTTCTTGGGCTTACAGAATATGTATGCCCATCTGTACGTTATTATTTACTTGTACAGCACCTTGTGTAGTGCAGTAAGACCCTGACCCATGGTGGGGTGTCAGGTGTGTTTAAAAGGCCAAAATGTGGTCTTGGTGGCTGAGGCTCCTTTTATCACCAGTTTTTCCTCCCCTTTTTTGTAGGATGTCTTTGAGATGAGGTTTGCAAAGATGCCTGATGAGCCTGCAGAGGCCCCACCCCCACCTCCACCAACAGCACCAGTGGTGAGCAAAAGCACAGAGAGCAGTCACAGCAGTGAGGAGAGCTCTTCCGACTCGGATAGCTCGGACTCAGAAGAAGAGCGAGCGACTCGGCTGGCGGAGCTCCAGGAGCAGGTATTGCAATGGCCAAGCTGTGTGTCTGTGTCTGTGCAGTAGAAGGGGCGTAGCAGGAGGAAGGGTTTAATTTTGTTCTTAAAAATCCCATCTAGGCTGAGATGCAGCAAAGCAATCTCCCCTTCTGCCAGCTAAAGGGGAAGAATGCTCAGCTGTGAAATAAGTGCATGTTTGACGTTAATTTTCTTCGAGATAGCCATTCTTGGTGCTGATGCTCTGTGCTTCCTTCTGGGATCCTAGAGTATGAATGAAGGTGCAGACAATACTAGAGATCTGGGAAGAACAGACACACCCATTTTGTATGAGAGCTCAGGCATAACAAAATCTGTCACAAGCTCCCTGTGGGATATTGTCCCCCTGTACCCTGTCTGTAGAAGTGAGCTGTTTTGACTGTTGTGGTTGCAAATGATTAAGCCATGGTCTTTCTTATTATGCAGGTATACAATGCCAGATGCTACAGTGCTTACATGTGCTACTGTAATACAACAAAGCGTTAATAAAATAGCTTATCCGGTGTCTCAAAGCAAGTTAGTAGGAGAGCTGAGAAGTGAACCCAGGATTCCAGAGGCCATGTTGTCAGTACTCTGGACGGAGCTATTAAGATTAATTTTTATTTGCCCCTATAAAACAAGAATGATGTTTTCATTTGAGCCAACTTCTGTACGCTTGCACTGCATTTTTTTAAAGAATTTCAAATCAAGCAATGTCTCCTGAGTTCAATCACTAGACTGCTTGATCATTGCCTTTGGGATATACTTACATGTCAGGATGTAGAAGAAGGGTATGTGGAGGCATTGATTATCTTGCCTTGAAGTCTGATTTATTTTCTCACTGTTGTCCCTCAGCTAAAGGCCGTCCATGAGCAGCTAGCTGCGTTGTCACAAGCGCCAGTGAACAAACCAAAGAAAAAAAAAGAGAAGAAGGAAAAAGAGAAGAAAAAGAAAGATAAAGAGAAGGAAAAAGAAAAGCACAAAGTAAAAGCTGAGGAGGAGAAGAAACCCAAGGTGGCTCAACCACCAAAACAAACCCAACAGAAGAAAGCCCCAGCTAAGAAAGCAAACAGCACGACCACAGCTAACAGGTGAGAGCCTGCTTTCTGCAAGTTGCCTTAAGGGGAATGCCAAGAGCTTCCAGCCCAGTTCTGCTGTCCCTCCTCTCCCTGTTGAATTCCTGGTGAAGCTCGGTTGTCAGAGCAGTTAATTTGCTGTTGAATAGTGTCCCCATTCCCAGACAACTCCAGGGAGTCTCTAAGTTAGAGCTGGCAGTGGAACCATCCTATTTCCACTGTCCAACTCAGAATCCCTGCCTGATCACTCTCAGATAAGGTTTTGCTTTTTGCCTTTTGTGCAGCCGGCAAGAACATGCCATTTCATTGCTTGCCCCCCTGCTGCTACATGGGCTTGTTGACATGCCTCACAGGGCTGAAATATAATAGGAGTAGAACAGCTGATCTCAGATTTCTGAACTTTTTCAGAAGTTGTGGTGCTGTTTGAGCCATCTGGCTAGAGGTTCAAAGCCAAGAGCATTGGGACGTTCGTTACAAGGGGAGTAGAAAAATGAGTTCATTCCTGCTATATACCCATGAATGTTTCCGTGCTTGCCAACCCCCCCCAGGCAGCCCAAGAAAGGAGGCAAACAGGCATCTGCAACCTACGATTCAGACGAGGAGGAGGAAGGTCTGCCCATGACCTATGATGAGAAACGACAACTCAGCTTGGACATCAACCGCCTGCCTGGGGAGAAGCTGGGCAGGGTGGTGCACATCATCCAGTCGCGGGAACCTTCCCTCAGAGACTCCAATCCTGATGAGATAGAAATAGATTTTGAAACATTGAAGCCCACAACTTTACGAGAACTGGAGAGATACGTGAAATCTTGTTTACAGAAAAAACAAAGGAAACCATTTTGTAAGTTACCTCCTGGGGCACGTGTTCCCCCACCAGCTCTTGGGCTCAGCTTTGGAGTCAGGGCATGTGTGTTGGGATTCTCTTATCCAGCTGTTGGGTATGTGATGACAGGGATTTTTAGAGATTGTTTTCTCCCATGAAAATGTACAGAAACTTTCTACTTTTTCTGTCGTTTCTTCTCATGATGTCATGCCGTGGAGACCTGGAGGGCTATTGTGTTCCTCTACAAGACCCCTGTGATGCCTTTATTACTTACGTAGAATCTAGAAGGCACTGTAAAGGTTTCAGTCTCATTGTGTTGGGTGTTATGTGCACTTGTCTAGAAGGATCAGTTTCTTATCCTGAATAGTTTAGCATCTAATTAGGAAGGAAATAAAAAGCGTGGTTGGGATCCGAAACACCAAGGGAATAAATGACTTGCACAAAGTTACCTGGGCAACCCGTGGATTCTGGGTGTAAGTGTCTGAGTTGTATATTCACCTCAGAACTGCTCTTCCTAGATGGCCTGATCACCTTATTACCCTCAGTCTCTATCAGATCAGAGGATTAATGTTAATGCGCTGCCGAGTGTACGGTACAGTATGGGATGGACTTTTCTCTGTGCCTCATCCACAGAGAGTGAATTGTTGCGGTCCCTTGAGAGTTTAGCTCCAGCTGAATAGCAATAGGATCACTTACCTGAAGTGGTCCTGGCTCTGTCCATCTGCTTGTTGGTTAAGAGGGAGTTGTCCTGTTAAGAGTATAACACAATAGCTACTCGCAACTCTTGCAGAGCACCTCCATTTCTTCACCACAGGATTTTCAGGTAGGCCTAAGCAAAGCTCAGACTTTGACCCTTCTTTTTGCTTTTTAATATGTTACTTTGATCCATCCCCCCAGATCTTCAGAGTGGTTAGGAATAAGAACCATTCTTTTGTTTTGGAACCAAAGCATAGAGTAACGCAGACAACCTCAGATGTCCGTCCGTCCACTCCTCTGAGACTGGTATGCCCTGGGCTGGCAGGCTGGCATGCCTGATCCCAGCCGGACTCTCCTGCTGTCCGGTGTCTATTGCAATGCTTAGTGTTCAGGGGCGTACCCTCTTAGGACTGTGCTTTCCAGAATTTTTTTTTTTTTTTTTTTTAAATCATTGCTTTAAAACAGCACACAGAAACGTAGGTATTTCCTTGCTGGATCGGGCAAAATATCTGGCCCCTGTTTTGTGCTTCTGATACTGACCAACACCTGTGTTCAATTACTCCTTCTTTGGAGGGATATTTCTTCTGCTCAGAAGAATGAGTATTGCTGGTACTTCTCATCATTTCCATCCTAACTGATGCAGCTACTTTCCTGTTGTCTGCCAGCCTTTGCCTCAGTTGTTTTTTAATTTGTCCTTTTCGTTTTGTTTTATATTTAAAGCAACATAAAACACATTATATTCTTGCGTGAGGTATCTTAAGTTTTAATGGCAGATGCTACTTCTGACAACCTTTAATGGGACACTTTATTTTACAGGGCAGAAAACCCATGTAACAATTCTGTAATTACAAATGTGTAACTATTGACCATATAACTGGCTGGTAAGTAACCTGTAACTACAAGGTTATTACATGGATATTTCTATCTTCTAAAATACTTTCCAGAAGGTCTGTCTTAAAAAGTGCATGTTACAGGATGATGGTGATTGGATGATCTAGACAACTTCATGTGTTGTCCTCTATCTGGGATGTGTAGTTGCTGTGTGGTCACTTGATCTTAGCGGTGTCACTGCAGAGCGGTCACACAGATTTACATGCCCTGTAAAATAGTGATGTCCACTCTTTTTTTGCCTGCAACCATGCAGTTTCAGAAATTGTGCATTCCTCCTCCACAGCTGCAAGTGGGAAAAAGCAAGCAGCAAAGTCAAAAGAAGAGTTAGCTCAGGAAAAGAAGAAAGAACTAGAAAAACGGTTACAGGACGTCAGTGGGCAGCTAAACAACAACAAGAAACCTGCAAAGAAAGGTAAAGGCTTTGGTTTTACTGTGCTAACAATGCCCGAAAAGTTGTGTATGTAGATAGACTTCCTCACTGAGGCAAAACTACTGCCGCCTTGTAGCCTTGGATTTATCTCTGTGACAATTACCCCAGTTGGTCACTAGTGTCGGGGTACAGCCAGTTACTGCTGGGCACTGAGCTACTGTGTGGGGGCTGCTTTGGTCCCTGTCCAGGTGGAAGCTCTCCTGGGTGGTAAATGTGAGGTGTCTTGGAGGCAATTCATCCTTCAGAGGGAGAAGGATCTTCTCCTCTGTGTTAGCCTGTGCAGGACTGTGTGTACAGACCAGTACCGCGGAGCATCTAGCAGGTGATTTTTCTCCATTGTGGGATTAAAAAAAGCCCAAGCCCCCACGTAGTGCAATAGTGTGAAAGATGGTACAAAAGGTTCTTCCAGTGCAAACTAAGCTTCTTCCGGCTTCACGCAAGTCAGGCAGGATTTTCTTGTGTTCAGAGGTTGCGCTGAAGCACATGAGGCTGTTAACACAGCTCCCCAGGTGCGCTGTGCCGTCTCACCATAAGCACCGTAGGGCCACGGAGGACATTGCCCTCCCGTAGGGCTCCTGTGCGGAACCCAAACTTTT